AGCCAATTAAATTCTTTAAAAAATTCGTTATAAGCTTATAACGAAGTTGATATCCAGATCCTAGAATTTGTTATATCGAGAGTTTACTGTATTTTTAATGCAATACAATCTATTAATAAAACCCTAAGTCATAAACTCGCCTTTGAGCTTTGTTATGTTTTTTTGCTTGAAAGTTCTGGTATATACAGTATATTCATAACGCAACTTTAAATTATTAATAAAAAACCGCCCCTTGAATTGATGATTAAATTTGTAAAACAGATCTCAGAATGAATGTATTATGCTGTTAATGTTAGCACATTTAATATTATACGTAAACACTATTATTCTATTTTTTTTTCCTTTTTGCGAATACATAGAATAGGGTGAAATAATACATTTTTAATGAAATAGAAACAATCACTAATATGTCATCGACCAGATCTTTATAATGCAATCATCCAAAGGCGTATTCTAAAAGTCCAGTCAATTTTAGACCCTGTGTTAAATTATATAAAGAAGAGACATCCTAGTTAGTGAACCTATTTATCCGCCTTGTGTAAATAAAAACAAAAAAATAAGCAAAACATTCAAACTTATCATAATTTACATCATCCAATCAAACAAACGAGTATATTCTGTAAAGTATTATAAGGTATGTTGGTTTTATTGCTTAGCTAGCATTTTGAAACATGTCATCACAATCTTAATTGTTTTTCTGCTATAGATATTCCAAAATAAAATGGACATATTGCTCTTCTTGCTATATATCAGCATTTTGATCTTTGTCGAGAAAATCACTGACCATCATCACGCGTATAATAGACGCAGTAAAATTACTCACATGAATCTTGTCACATGCAATGGCACAGCAAAAGTCTAGCGCAATACATCAAAACATTTATCTTATATAAGCATTTTCACATGCTAAATTCTTAAAACTTTGTGCAGTATCGTACTAGCGATAACGCAGAAAAATTTAAGCAATAAATATCTTGTGTATAAGTGGAATGAAATTATGTGAAAATGAATTGTAATGGTAAGTATAAATTATGATGATATTATTTTTTTTATCTCAGTTGCTAATATTTTCGTATTATACTATAGGTTTAAAATTTCTTAATCTCAGAAAAGTTCTCTTTCGAGAAATAATATTTTGTGTGTTTGGGAGAGATATAGATAGACAAAAATACTGTAAATATGGGTGGGATAATTTATTTCAGAAATCTAGTATAGCAAAAGGGTGTGGGGTGAGAATCACGTAATTAGTAATAAAAGTATAAACAAATTAGTTATAGATATTTTTCGTAAATATGAAAGAGCAAAGAAATAACTTGATGCTGGAACTTACATTAAATGGTCTAAGATCCGCATATTTCCTTCCTCTTTGATAGCATCATTATTCGCTTCTCTCAATTTTTCACTTCTGGATCTGAAATTATTAATAAAGTTTGTATTACATTGAAAAAAGTCACATGTAAAGTATCTTGAATTTTTTAATGATATTATTAGATTAAGAAATAAATATACAATATTTATCTATGGATGAGCTGTTGTTACATACTTTGAAGTACTGATTTATAAAACATGTTCTCAATTAATAATCAGTGAAGCTTAATAATTTAATATAACGTGTTCACAAAGTTTAATGAAAGTTTATTTCAAATTATATATATAATCAATAAATCTGATATAAACCTCTTCATAAAATTGGTTTTTATTCTATTTTACTACTTTTAAATTAAAATAATAATGTCTAATATTTACGAAATCATAAATAGCACTAGTCTCGAAAAAGCATAAACGAATAAATTAAAAATTCATCTAATAAAAATCATGATGTAAAAGAAGAATTGTTTTCAGCCTTTAAAAGTTCCTACCAGATAAAAGAATCTAAAATGAATCTTTTGAAAGATTTTTTTAAAAATATATCTAATATGTTATGTTAAATAAAATATTTGCTATTATACTAGGACCCCAAACTATACTAATAGAACTCACAATGTAGTATGAACATGCAATTAAAATTATATAGTATGGTATAACTCAGTCAATATTAATGCTAAAAAGATAAAATTACTACTATTAGATTTCTCTCGGTTAGACAAATCCAATGGTATAAATTCATTAAAATTGAATCACTGGTTATTGAGATAATAGGGTATGTAGGATAAATAAATTTGTAAAAATAAGCAACTTTTAGCAAAGTTTACATATAAACTCTACGTAAACTCAAATGTGAGTTATATTAGTATAGTTCGGGTCCTATTATACTGCTTGTGACACTACTGCTAAAAATATTTTTGTTCTTTATCACATGCCTGTGGATTTCTTTGCATAATAATGATTAGTCATGACATTGTCTTCTCCTAACCTAATTTAGATGAATATCAAGGTAAGCGATTGCATCGTAATGATTAGTCAATTTGAACGTGATGCCAATCTTTATTGTTTTTACACTTTTTTGTCTCTACAGGGAAATAGCCACTTTCATCCTCTGCTGAATCAAGTCATTACAAGAGGATAAAAATGTTAGGTAAATACTAACAAGATGAGTTATCAGAATCCCAATTCATATTGTTCTTTATACTTCTATTTAGAGGATTGGAAAAAGACATTATTTGCAAGAACTGCTATTGATTTAGACTTGAACAATGAAGCGATTATCCTTCTGCCACTTCCAGAAACTGAAAGCAAAACACATATCTATAAGAACTGTTGTTATGACTATTTCAAGAAAATCATTCTCAAGAGTAAGAAACATAAGTGTTTCTGCATTACCAGGAATCCAGGAATAGGAAAGACATTTTTTAGACATTATATTATGAGTGTTTGTTAAAAGAAGATTCCAAACTATTGGTAAATGATGCCAGTTATCTGCACCTATATCTCATTACTCATGATGAGATGAATGCTTTTGATGTAAAATGGGTACAAAATGAAGTCTATAGCAGAGTTACAGGAAAAGACAATGTGTAGTGTATAATTAACAGCAAACCACCTAGAATAAATCACAATTTTGATACTGAAAAACTTATTATGGTATCATCACCAAAGGATTTGAACACAAAAAAATTTTGCAAACCAGTTAATAATATTACAATCAAAGTATACATGCAAATTTGGTCAGAAGCTGAATTAGAAGAACGTTGATCATTAATCTATCCAGAATTTTCAAAGGACAATCTTCATGAATCTTACCAATTATGTGACGGTATTCAAAGAATGATTTTCAAATGCAAATTATCTGAGATTAATAAGATGATTACGGCTTCTGTTAATAATATTGGCACTGACATATTCAGATACATTGGCAAACTTAGTGATGATGATAATTATAGTCATAATTTAGTACATATTTATACTAATGAGAAGCTGATAAATGAAATTATCAATAGACATATCTTTGTCAATTCACCCTATACTTTTTGTGAATTAAAGTTTACTTCAGCAATTGTTAGTGATAAAGTTTTTGCAAGACTAAAAGAATTCTACAAAGAAGAAATATACAAGTTTGTCTTTTTATCAGCTTCTGTGTCATTATTAGGTTCTGTACATAGACATACACTACCCTATCAAAAGTATCCGGTCAAGCTCTTTTTGATTTTTTCGAAATTGGATTTATTAATTAATATAATTTTTTTTTAAATAAATGCTTGATTTCTGACGATTAAAATTTGTTTATTTGTTTATTTTTATGACGTATACATCAAATTTGGCAATAAAAACAATAATCAATTTTGTGTAGTAATGATCTTTAACTTTTCTTACTGTGCCATTGAAGCATATTTTGAAATAGGAAAAAATCGCAAATTAAATGAATTTGAGCGTGAAAAAGTCATTGTACTTTGGATAGGAGGAAGGACTCATGAAGCCATTAGTTGTGTCTTAAAAATTCCAAAAAGTACTATTACAGACATAATTTCTTGATACAAAATCTTAACAATAGATTAACAGCTAAAAGAACCAAAAGATCATGTTTCATGAATAATGATGATTGTCGTAACCTTTCAAAAATTGTCAAAAAAAACAATTGACTTTCTCTTGAAAAAATTTAACAGAAATTTAATAATTCACAAGATAAAAATATTTCAGCTGTAATCATTCATAAAAACCTTCATCAAATAGGGATGAATTCACAGGTTTTTGCATCAAACTACTTCTTAATGAATCCCAACATGAAAAATGATTGTTATGATGTATAAAACGATAAAATTGGTTAGTTAGACAGTGGAAAACTGTCATCTGGAGTGATGAGTCCAGATTTACCATTTTTCAAAATGATGGTCCTGTTCGTGTTTGGCGAAAAGATGAAACCCAATACAATATTGAGAATTTAACACCAATGGTTAAACATGGTGGCAGAGGTATTATGGTATGAGGATGTTTTTCAGGAAAAGGATTGGGACTAAAAATGGGAACTGTAATTAATATGTTGCAACTTTTAATGTTGCAACTTACGTTGCAATTAGTTTTAACCTACATATGTTGTAACTTATAATATTGCAACATATGTTGCAACTAATTTTAGCTTATGTTGCAACATTTTGTAAATTTGAAATCAATTGCTGTACCATCTTTAATTAGGTATCTTAAGAAATTGATGAAGTATGACAAAATATATATTTTTTCTGGGCTTCTGGCTCATATTCAGATTCATTACGTCTCTTCGCCCATAATTTCCTTTCATAAGTGCTGGAATATATTTCTGATTCTATAGTTATATCATTATATTTTGTGTAGGAAGAGATCATCAATCAATCAGAACGATAATTTTTCTATCCTTTTTTTGTATCTTTGATACTGCAGAAGAAAACCTAATTTTTTTCTTGATCTGATAAGAAATTAAGATAGGCTATCTCCTGAAGGTCTTAACTAAAGGAGGGGATTATACTTTTTAAAAAGGATACCAAATTTGATAATTGGGTGACTTTCCTACCACGCTCTTCTAAAGACCTGATCATAGTTACCTTACGAGACTTATACTGCTCTTGCAAATCGAGAAGCTCTTCGATCTTTTTTTCCAATATCTGCTTTGATATACATAACTCCTCATTTTCTTGCTTTAATGAAGTTTCACAGTTGCTAGTAATAGGTTTCATCTTCTGATGCTCTTTTTTCTTAATATAATTTTCAATGCTTTATTTAACAAATCTTCCATTTTAGGGTGAATACTACTTGCTTGTTCTAGCAATAATGGATGTTTTCAAGATGTAAGTTATCACCATATATCTATTTTGATAGATTGAGGAAGCTGGTTAAGTTGCTTCAAGTAATATATGTAAGAAGATGGTGATAGTATGCCAGTCATTTCTTATAGATAATAAAAAATTTTGAGAATTAAAGAATTTTGCATATTTGGGAAAGGAAATTCAAAGAATTTGTTCTTCAAGAGAAAGTGTTTTGATTATTTTGGCGAATTTTCAGAAAACCTCTTAACATTGTTAAAGGGTTTTATATCATATGATAAATCAGAATTATCAGGATACCTATTAACGGGTTTAATAAGAAAAAAATTTCATTTAGCAGTTGACTTATCTTTCGCAGTACCAAAGGTACAAAGGAAGGGGGAATTCAAAGAATTTAAAAAATAAATTCACGTGCTAGTTTTGTGACACATCTGGCAGATCAGCTAGAAATATTAGCTCTGATCAAGAATTTCACGTGATATTATGGCTATTGGTCAGAAAAAATCACATGTGCGTGAATAATTGTTTATGCTGATCACTTTTGCCAAAAAAAATTTATTATTCGATATATGCCACACACAAAAAACATAATATATATTTGTGAAATTAACCGCCAGAGTTACTTTATTGATACAAAATAAAAAAATACATGATGCTTAGGATATATTCCCCCCTCAAAGATACTTTTCAGGAGTTGAATCAAATAAAGATAAGAAAAATTATTTCATAATCAAATGATAGAATTTTTTTTTTTGAGCTATATGAAGAAAAAGGAAAATAAATCTAATTATTCTTGATCAGAAGATACTGTAAAGCTTTTTCGCTTAAGTCATTCTGATCTAGCTTCTAGCACATTTAATAATAATGAAATGTTGACAATTATAATATTTTGTAAAAGTAGTAATGCCTCCACAAATTGCAAAACATCACCTTCATCAACTGGTTGAATTGGAATTTCAACTGAACGCAAATGAAAAAGATGGTGAATATCATTAATATCCTTAATTAGAATGTTTAGATGCATTATTTTTTTAGCGATTTGGAGTCCTAAAACCCCAAACTCATTTTTATCTGATTTACAACCTTTATAGACCCAAGCCATTCTGTCATTCATTTCCCTTCATAGTTTTATATTATTATTCTCTTCTTTGATTTTAGTGCAAGTTATATGAGAAGATTTCACGAATATAAGTTCATATAATTTTTTCCACTCCCTTCTATAAACATAACATTGGGTTTTTTATCATATTTTCTGTCCCTTCTTCTATCAGCACTAACTACACTTTGTCACTCTATACTGAACAGAAAATAAATTTATAAGTTTATTGCTAATATATAATATGTATATGAAATAGAGACTTACGTGCTGAGTAAAGCAATTTTTCTAACTGGAAGCTTTTTCAATATCACTTAAAGTAAAGGAATTATAACATCTGTTATATAAGTTTCTTCACTCTGTGTATTTTCAAACTTTGGAGTAAAGGCAGGACTCTTTCATACATCATCACTTAAAAGATAGCTTTTAGTGAGTGTTAAATATAACAATTTTAATAATAAAAAAAATACTTATAGGGTATTAAAAATTTTTCCTATAATTTTTACTAGAACTTTTTCTAATTCTTTTCAAATCTTATTATGCGAAAGCTTTGGTAGTAGCTCATTCAAGCATTCAATAGTAAAGTTTTTCACAAAGGAATTGCATCTTTCTTGGATTATTTCTGGTATAATCGGTTGCATATTCTGCATCGGCTTCATGAAAAACTGATATGTGAATTTTCCCAAATTCTTTATCAGGTTAGAATCATCACTAATCACTTAGTTAGCTAATGTATCTCTCCATGAAAAATCTGAAACAGATATATTTTTTAACTTTTGACGCAATTCTTCAGCATGTGAAGTTGTACTTCTTTATAAGTTAAAAAGTATTATTATCTAAGTTTTGCAATGTAGCATAAGATATAGAATTAAAATTTCCATAAGCTTCTTCTTCAAGTCTCCCATATTATCCTTAATTTCTTTATCATTGAGAGGCTTAACTGCTATTTCTATATCACGAAGACTACAAATGCCTTCAAAAGCAATGTCAAACTGACGTATAAAAAAAGCTAAATATTAGTCTTTACATTTTTACATAAATCTATTCTATATCATTCGTGAGTGTCATCAGGAATAAAATAGCAAGGTTGCTATCTCTGCATGGCCTGCACATTGTAAGCAACTTTATTTCTACATATAGACTTTTAAAGCTTGAAAGATAAAGCCAGAGTATCTCATACATTCTTGGAGTAGAATCCAGTACTAGCAGGCATTGAGTATCCAGAGTTATCTCTATGTTTTTCATAAAGTTGAATCTATTACTAACAGGTTATTAGATATCTTTATTGATTAAAGCCTTTATAAGCTTAAAGTCTCGTTTAAGAATTGCGTTATTCATTATTTGTTAATAGAGAGTTATTATAAAGCTTATTGACTAATCTGCAAAGATACAGTAAGAAGTTTATTTTGCACTGATAAATCTCGAGAAAATTCATTTTTTGTTAAAGAAATGGTACTATTTACTATACTTATTAAACATCCTGTTTAATCTATAGATTATCCTTCATAGCTTGATAGACTACAGAGAAAGTGATAATATGTTTCATTGGGAAGTTAGTAAGAAAATTATAAATTTTACTGGCCAAGCTGTTAGACATGTTTATGTGAAAAATAATATTAGTTTTGTTAGTATATCAAAAATTACTAAACAACAAATATCTAAAATTTTCATATACTACCCTTTTAAATGAATCTATTTACGTTCTCTTTGGGCTTATATTCATATTAGAGAGAAGATACAGGAGATTATGCAATAGACCTTATACTAAAATTTTGCATTAAAGAATAAGAATATATGAAAATATGCATTGAAGATTTCGACATTTAAAAAGGCATTAGGGTAATACATATATGGATTTTTTCATTTGTCTTGCTTATACTATGATCTGGTAATGTTATATATGTAATTCAGTCAGAATGGATAAGATCTCATATAGTAGAAATAATTTATCTCTCAGCCAGAGGCAAGCAAATATATATATATTATTTTTCTAGAACATTGCAAGAGAAAAATTCGAAATATTTTTTGGGAGTGGATCGATTTCTGCATGTGTGAAATTATTTTATCATACAAGCAAATGGTTATACTTGTACTGATAATTGGCAATGTATCACTATTACATCATATACATTTTAACGAGGATCAGAGACATGTTTATTTATATTGCATATACCAAAAAAGATTGTAGCTTTTTTTATGAGAAATTTTTTTTGGCAAATTTCAGCCGGTCAAAATCATGTGTTTTTTCTCCTTCACAGATGGTATATTCAGTAGGTAATCTATACAAAAAAAGAAAGAATCAATTTATTGTATTATTATAATAATATACTATTTTGGTAAAGAATCTATAGCTCAGAAAACTCGTTGCACATACTTACAATTATTTTTTGAATCTAAGAAATCTATACTATTAAGCTTTTTCTCAATAATAAAATATCTAAATTTATGATAGTCAATTTCTAGCGAATTGCATAGATTTGTTCTGCCATGTAATTTGCACATCTCATATCATGCATATTCTGAACTTTTAACGAAGTTTACATTATCATTATTATAGTATTTATTAATATGATAATCTTTGGGATTCAATAGCCACTTTAACATATGAGACCAATTTGAATATTCAACGATTCTATAACCTTTCA